ACTCTGCTAATGGGAATAGAACATGTTACATCCGTTTTGGAAAACAGTCTGGCAGCTTCTAAAAAGGTCAAAAATAGAGTTACCATGGTACCTAGCAATTGGACACCTAGGTGTATATCCAAGAAAAATACAAGCGTATGTTTACTCAATCACTTGTACATGAATGTTCATAGCGGCTTTATTGATAATAGCCAAAAAGCGCAAACAACCAAAGTGTCCATAAACTGACGAAGGAATGAATAAAATGTGGTATATCTGTACAATGGAATACTATTTGGCCATAAAGAGAAATAAAGTACTATATGTGCTAAAACATGAATGAACCTTGAAAACATTATGTTAAGAAAAACAAGCCAATCACAAAAGACCACATGTTGTATGATTTTATTTATATAAAATATCCAAATTAGGTAAATCTATAGAGACAAAAAGTCATTTGATGGTTGCCTATGGCTAGGAGACTTGTGGAAAAATGGAGAGAGACTGTGAATTGTATGGGTTTTTTGTTTGTTTGGTTAATTGGTTTCTGGAGGTAATGAAAATGATCTAAAATTTATTATGATGATGGTTGTACATCATTCTATATGTTAAAAATATTTGACTTCTCTACTTTAAATAGGTGAACTGTATAAATAAAGCCATTAAAGCTCAGCAAAGCTGTTATATATAAAAATTAAAGATAATTGGAAGATGTTTAATAAAATATGTGCACTTCTATTTTAAGTTATTAAAATGTCCTAGAAACTAGCTCACAACTCCCCGGGCTTCTCACACGCTCTGGGCTTCTCTGGAAACATGGTTCGGTGCAGTAAAGACTATTTTTAACCTTAAGTAATTAGAAGGAGAGCTAAAATCAGAATGTGGTCCAGTGAGATACATCTCATGCCAGTTAGAATGGCGATCATTTAAAAGTCAGGAAACAATAGATGCTGAAGAGGATATGGAGAAATAGGAATGCTTTTACACTGTTGGTGGGAGTGTAAATTAGTTCAACCATTGTGGAAGACAGTGTGACAATTCCTCAAGGATCTAGAACCCGAAATACCAATTGACCCAGCAATCCTATTGCTGGGTATATACCCAAAGGATTATAAATCATTCTACTATAAAGACACATGCACACACATGTTTATTGCAGCACTCTTCACAATAGCAAAGACTTGGAACCAACCCAAATGCCCATCAATGATAGACTGGATAAAGAAAATGTGGCTGTAATGTATTCCATATACACCATGGAATACTATACAGCCAAAAAAAGGATGAGTTGATGTTCTTTGCAGGGACATGGATGAATTTGGAAACCATCATTCTCAGCAAACTAACACAGGAACAGGAAACCAAACACTGCATGTTCTCACTCGTAAGTGGGAGTTGAACAATGAGAACACATGGACACAGGGAGGGGAACACTACACACCAGGGTCTGTCGGGGTGGGGGGCTAGAGGAAGGATAGCATTAGGAGAAATAATGCAGGTGACAGGTTGATGGGTGTAGCAAACCACATGGCATGTGTATAGCTATGTAACAAACCTGCATGTTCTGCGCATGTATCCCAGAACTTAAAGTATAATTTTTAAAAAAAAATCGAAATGTGGCCAAACTTGTCTTCATTCTCTCACTCCTGGTGAAATGGGGACTGGCTCAGACTTGGCCATTGCGAGTGACCAAATGAATGAGCACTGAATTTTAGGGCAAGAGGGAACTTTACAATTACCTAAGGAATGCCGCATGAAAAAGTTTTATTTTTGCGAGGGTTTCCCCTAAAGCAGACCTTGATACACAGTTTTGGATTCAGGTAGTTTACTTGGGTGTTTGTCTCAGGAAACACAAGTGGAGAAATGGAGAAAGAAAGATGCAGAAAGGAGAAAAGCCAATAAAAGGTGCAATAAAAATTGAACTACTAATATAGGCTATTGGGGCTCAGTTCTGCTGAAGATGCTCCAAAAAAGCGTGTAAAGTATACTTCAAAATCACCCCACATGAGTACAGGGAGACTGAGGCTTGTATCCACCAGTTTTCATCTCCCACTGGCTGGGGATTACCCTTGAAGGTATTAACTCTACACTTCTGGGCTGTGTCTGCTTGCTGTAGAACATGCTTCTGCTGAAAAAAAAATCCTCAGGCTTAAAAAAAGAGAGATGGTTGAGGGAGAAGCTGCCAGCTTCTGGTACTGACACCATAGCTGCAAATGATCTAGGTGAGTATGAGAATGTGGTATGAGGAGACATTATCTATTACAATGTCTATGGTTAAATAACATAAATGGAAATGAAATCACCACCATTTTCCTGGTTCAGAAGGGAATTTCCAACTGGCCGTACCTGCCCCACCTTGATCTGAAGGCAAGTTTCCTCTTGTTATCATCCTCCCCTCAAAAGGTGGCCAAATCTCTTTTTGTTCTGAGTGACTTGTGAGTGTCTAGGACCTTTACATCAGCAGCTTGTCTACAGGAGATGGTCCATCTGGAACAGGTGAGAGGTTTCGGCAGAATCTCATGGGCAGTGATAAACATCACTTCCATCCAGACTCTCAAAGTTCCATGGGTTAGTTGCTGGCAGTTTTCAGGTCACCCACATAGAAGAGGGACACATTAGTTTGGTGCAGAGCTTTCTTATAGCTTCTCAGTTCATGAAAGATCTCCTATAGCTTCTCAACACATGAAAGGTTTCTTTTTCCCCATGTCAGTCCTCAGCTCTCCCTCTTTTTCCCTTACTCTGATTCTTAGTTACTGAGATAACTCATTTTTCTCACTGGAATCTGAGCTTCTGTGTATCATTGACCAATTCGTGACTGGTAAAACAGTTTAATAATATAGATTAATACTTGAATATATAAATTTCACCTCTCAAGATTAGGAAATGTCAGGTTAAAGTCTAGCAGATTGCCTTAGTATAGGACTTCTCAGAGCCTCTCTTATTGTTATGAGCCTCAGCTGTCCTCAAAGCAGTGGTTAAAGTTCACAGTATTTTCCAAATCTATTTGACCATGGAAGAGTTTTTCAAAGAGCACCTCGTGAACCTAATGTTCTATGGAACACACTTGGAGAAATATCAGTGTAGCACACTCCATCCATTTTACTCATGGAAAAATAGAAGTCCATAGAAGTGAAGTGTCTTGCTTAAGTCATGCCGTAAGTTATTGATGGAGCCAGAATTTGAAGCCAGGTCTCCTGTCTCTTAGGTGTTCTTTGCTCAGTAAAACAAAAATGGTCATGGGTTTACCTTGTGATAAGTAGCTTGTGAATTATTCTTTCTCCATTGTTGATGCATTTGAGGAGTGTCATCCTCCTTCTATATCAAAACCAGATGAATGAAAATGTTTACAACCATTCTAGTGATCAACTGTCAGATAGTAGAAGGAGATAAATAAAGACAAGAGACAAAAAAGAGTTAAAACCTAGACATGCTGGGTGTGACAAAGGTGGTTCGCTGTTTAGCAAAACTTCCTGCTCCCTCCTTCATCTGGGTAGGTAGGGATGTAACTGTGCATCTAAATATGGCCATGTGCCAAGTTCTCATTAATGGAGGTGTAGGTGGGGTTTTAAGTAATAAAGATACTTTCTCCACCTTCTTGCCCCTCTACCATCTAAATGCTGAGAACTCAGGCCCTAGGGAATGGCAAAGCATGCAACAGAAGGAAGCCTCCTATCTAAACCCGAATGTGGAAGAAAGCCTCTGATTGACCAGAGAAGACTCTTACATAAGCAAGAAATATGCTTCTATTGTGTCAACCACTGAGTTTTGGCTTTGATACAACAGTTCACATTGCCCTAGTTAATGTACTGGGAGGTGGAAGGAAATATGGGGCAAAAGAAGAGATGAGAGATGTCAAAAAGTATGGATTGATGGGTCAAAAATTCGGGGACACAGCCATGTCATCTGAACCAGAAAGGAACCCGGAACAAAGCAATCAGTCCTTTTGCTCGGGGACTGAGGGGACCAGCAGACACAGCATCCTTCACACCATGCCCTCCTTCACCCTACCTTCATTCAATTGCTAAACCTGCCTCGTTCTGCTAAGTGTTCAGGTAGTATCTACTTCTCTCCATTCTCACTGGCAGAACCTGGGTGGTCATCTTCATCTGTCGGCTGGATTATTCCAATATTCTGTAACTAGTCCTATGTTCTGTTAGCCACCCCTTTTCCCCCTCACAGATCCATTCTCCACGCTATGGCCAGAATCATCTTCATAATATACAAATGGGATTATAACCCACTCCTTAGGCCCTGGCTTGAACCCTTCAATTAATTCTCAGTGTGATTACAATAAAGTTCAAAACCCTATGTGGCCCTGCATGATATGGCCTCTGTTTCAGCTGTCACCTCTCCAGTCCTTACACTCTATGTTTCAGCCACTGTGAACTTCTTTTGGCTCCCTGAGTGGGTCACACTTCTCTTGCCTCTTACCCATTGCATAAGACACTCCCACTTCCCAAATGTCCTTCCCCTTCTCTCCTCTCCATGTCCCTTCCTACCAACAGTTTGACTCCCACTCAACCTAGCTGTCACCTTTTCTGGGAAGGTTTCTACAACATATTCAGGCTGAATTAACTTCTTATTTTCTGTCTTCCTTAGTACCCTGTTCATGCCCCTATCAAAGCACTTTCATACTCTACTTAATTTTCTGTCAGTATCTTCTGTTAGACTGATGCTTGAGGGCAGAAACACCTCAATCACCATTAAATCTGAGCACTTCATGGATGTTTGGTACAGAGAAGGCGTTCAGTACTTTTTTTGCTTGTTTTTTAGCTGGGTGGATGGGTGGGACAAATACCTATTTGATACAAGCCAAAGAAAAGTTCGTACATTGGCAATAAGCAGTGTTGGTTAACCATTAGTGAAAATAGAATCACATTTTTTCATACATTTATTTATATAATCTGATCCATAAATATCTTTTAACATATGATTTTCCAAAGTTGCTGTGTTTGACTCTTTTAAAGGATTTGACTGATTTGCTTAATTATTTATTTGTTTGTTTGTTTGTTTGTTAACAGGTGAGTAGACAAGCCAGCACATCTTTCTCACTCTCTACAAGCCAGGACTGGAAGAAACCTGGTTGCTGGCTCAGGAGGAATGAAACATGCACCGGGTTAAGACTTTAGCTCTGGAATCAGAGCTGTCTGAGTTTAGTCCTGCCATATGATTTACTAGCCGTGTGACCTCCGGTGATGAATTAATATTTCTGACGTCCTTATCAGAGTGCCTAGTACATATTAAGAATGCAACAGTGGGTAGCAATAATCGTCAATGTTATATTCTCCACAAAAATTAACTTTTATCATTATCCTTCCTTAATATTGTTGTTAAACTGTGACTAACGCATCCCGGGGGTGGGGGGTTGTACACTGTGTGCAGGAAAAGTAACCAGAAAGATCAACCCTATGAGATCATCAGGAAAGACCTAATGCTTCTCACTGGACAGACAAGAAAACCCACACTCAGCAGGGTTAGGAGACCTGCTCCAAGTCACGTAGCTAGTAAGGGCAGAGCTGAGTCAAACCAGAACTTCTGATTCCAAAGCCAGTTCTCTTTCCACTACACTGCATGGCCTCTGGGTGTTAGCATTTCCAGGTCCCACCTACTTCCAAATATCTAAGGTCAAACAGGACTTTGGATTCCAAATATGCACACTAGGACTGCCTGTTCCCTTCTCTCCATTCACAGGTATGTGGCACTGTGGGCCCATAGGGCATTCTGCCCAGGCTGCAGAGCTCTTGAATGTGCTTCCCTTCCCCAAGCTGTCTTCTCTGTCAAGGGCACAGACTGGTTCCCATAGAGACCGAAGTACCCTTTCACAGAGTTGCTTCTGCGTCTCTCCCTGGGACTGGGCTGGGATTGCTATCTACCTCTTGCATTTCAGAAGTCCAGAGAACCTAAGACTTTTGTGCTTTGTCGACACATGCCACAAAAACTGAGCACACTTACCAACTGAACAAACATCAGAATGTGCCAAATCTCTAAAGTCCAATTCTTAGTGCAAACTGCCAAAGCAGATAACACTTACAGTACTCAGAAGGTCATAAATTGTCCAAGCTCGATAGGACCTGAGGCCTCTTCTAGTCTGAACTATTTATTTTGCAGAGGAGGAAATATGGGCAAAGAAATGGGCAGGAACAAATGTCCAGGCTTTGGTGATAGTGATTGTGGGGTGTCTCCTGGGTCCCATTCCATCATCCTTCTTATCACATCCATATACATCTTCCTGGAGACTCATCATAATTGGATACCCCTTATAGAGACGAGCTGCCTGAGACATAGATACCTGCTCAGGACGCTGGCTATCACTATGGGGAGCCGTTTTGACACAGGCCATTGTTAGTGACTGGGAACACCTCCTAAAAATGAGATGGTCTGAAGGGGTCCCAGTACTTGGGGACTGTGTGTAATAGGAGCCTTAAGAGAGGCTCCTAGACTATCTCTTGATTGCCTGTATGATATTTTGTGAGAATGTAAACCTACCTCACTATTAATTTTAGCAAAATAAAATTAAAAAGCAAACAACCAAATGAAAAGAGATGTCATATAGAATAGAAGTATGGACAATTCTAGAGATGTTTCAAGAATAGCGTTCATCACTGGTGCTCCAGTACACAGAGAAATGTGCTGGAGAGGTTCATTAGGATTCTTGAGTCAAGCCAAAGGCTAGAATCAGGCTTGTGGTTTCAGGCATCCAATAGCAGAGGTTAGCTCTAGAGTGGGGTTGGAAATAAATATTACCCCAGGTACCTACCCTACCCTTAGCTTAGTGCCTCCCAGTAGGTGGAAGGGAAATCTTAAGGGACCAAGATGGATTGATCAATTCCAGGAAGCTTTGATGTTTTCAAAATCACATAGGATATTGAAGTCTTAGAACCTCCCAGGGGGTTCCTGAACCAGAATTTGCTTCAGTCAGACAGACAGGGAACACAACTAGTGTCCTCTGTTCTTCACAGTTTCTCATCTTCTGAACCTCCACTTGCAGTCCTAAATCAGAGATAGGCAACCCCCTGCAGTATGGTGATGCCACATGCCAGAGGGCTAAAGGAGGTCTCTCTATTGCACAGGACCATTCACAGGCAATGGAGTGAATCTGAAGGGGATCTGAAGGGGAAAATTGCCTTTTGAGCATACTAAATTCCATCCCATTTAAGAAAGGAGACAGTGTTTCTTTATTCTTAAGCTTCCATTATCCTCCTTGGTACCCAGTGCATGGAAGAGACTGAATAAACATCTGACGGATGACTAGGTAAATGAATGAATGAAAGAATAAAGTGAGTATTTGAGTTAGTTAGAAAAAGAGTGAACTATATAGGCTAGAGAATGAACTGCCATAAAGAACCCACAAGGGAATTGCAAAATCTCGATAATACACACATAAATGTTCATGAATTCTATGATAGAGAAAGAGGTTCATCTGTTTATATAATTCCTATCAATACTGTATTTCCTCTTAATGTTTCTTGAACTCTTTAAAACAAGAAACTTTTAACTATTTGGTTCTCTGAACATTTAAAATAACTTTTTGGTGTTATTTCTTTCATTTTTTCTAGCTAGTGAAGTTTGTATTCCAACGAACTGTTTTTCACTTAGCCTTGCTCAGTGTCTTTGTCTGTAGTCACCACTTGGCCTTTTCACCACTATGTGTATTAACACCCTGGTAGGAAAGAGATAAATGGAAGCAAAATAGCAAAGTGGTGAAGAGGAGGGTTCTAGAGGCAGACAACCCTGCAGTCCTGAGACCTGAGTCCACTGTTTAACAGAGTGACTTTGCTTAGCCTGTAGATTATAATGGAACTTGCCTGTAAGTATGATTATGAGTAGTCCTGGAAGGATAATACATTGCATTGTGTTAATCACACCGTGAATGATCAATGAATTTTAGTTACTGGTATCATTATATTGTATTGCTATACTACTGTATTACATTAAATCATATTGTATTATATCAATCATATCATCTATTATATATCAGTAGCATATTGATTGTGGTCTTGTAAAACCAGTGTCTATGGATGTGTTGAACAAAGCCACATCCTCTATAGAGTCCTCCTCCAGTCACCTCCTTAACTTTCTTCCCCAGATTGAGACCACCCCTTATTTCTCTCTTATGTAAATTCTGAAAGTAGTACCCAGTGGTCTTCAGGGAGAGAAATCTTGTTTTTTCTCTGAAACAACATTCAGCTACACCCGTGGCTGGCTTTCCCTACATGTGTCCCCCTCCCTCTCATTCAGGAGAGGCCATTTGAGTTCAGAGTCCTGATGTGAGGCTTGCGTTTGAGGAAGGAAAACCACTTCAAATCTCATTTGTTGACCTGACTCTCACCCTTCCCCTCCAGCATTCCAAACTCCCACTCACATCAACAAGCTAGAATTTTAAACTTGGTTGGAACTGTAAAAGCTTGAGGTTATTAGAGCTCAAGGATAGGGCAGGAGCTGAGTCTGACAGCTTGTTTTACTCTCCGCACTGAGGCAATCAAGGCCAAGGCAGTGTCAGGGAAAGGCCAGGTTTTCTTGTAGCCTTGGGCCGTTGGCCGTATGCTAGGGAAGGGAGGTGGAGCCGAAGATTTGGCATCAAATCAGAAAAAATAAGGTACGTTGATTCACTCAACTCTGTGCTTAACCCTGTGGCAAACACATTGGCTAACTTCTCTGCTCTTCTTTTCATCTTCTTTAGGTTATCCAGGTTTTTAGGTGGTAGCAACATGTTCAAGGAAGATGCAACCCCTTCCTCCAGCCTGAGAGGATAAAGCATCTTTGGCTTATTGCCAACCATGGCAATCCCATTCCCCTTTTCTCATGATTGATTTGGGAATGGGCAAGTGACCCAGCCCTGACCAATGAGACCAAAGAAACAGTCTATTGGTCAGCTTATCTCAGAAGATTTTTGTTTCCTGCTATAAACAGTAAGTTTCTTCCTGCCTGACTTAAATGCAGTTGTGTGCAAACATGTTACTTGGAGCTACAGCAACGATTCTGTGACCATGAGGCAATAAGCCAAGAACAAAGGATAGAATAGTGAAAAGACAGAGTATTGAATTTTTTTATGATATCATTGAACTGCTGGACCAATGTGGAGCCATCTACTTTTAGTCTTTCATGATTTGTGAGATGATTAAAAATTTCTTTCGTTTTAGCCATTATTTCTTTTCTGTTACTCAAAACTGAAGACATCCTACATAATACAAACACTATCCAACCTGGGTTGTAATGTATCTATTTTCAGATCTGTGTGTTCTATCTTATTGATTTTTGTATTCTTAGCACTGACTATAAGCCTGCTACTTAGTAAGACTTCAATAAATGACTGTTTAAAAAGGTCTTAGATGATTAAAAAAAAAAATTCTGAAGTTGCTGAAATATGAAGACCAGGAACCAATTTCAGGTTCCATAAATTTCTTGCTTCCTTTGCTTCTGGGGTATTCTTCATTTCTGTCTGATTCTACCTTTACTAAAATGAATGAATGATTGAGGACTATGAAAAATGGCTGGTATAGTGGCTACTGCTGAGAAGTATCTCTTGGAGATTCCCAGAAATTCCATAAGCCACATTCAGACCTAACTCTCTGATGATCAGTGTTTCTGAACTCAAACCAGTATATATAATCAGTGGACTATTTAAAGTGGTATTGGCCTAGAATATCTAGGACACATGTTTTATGCATTCAGTAAGCATTTGTTTAATGTCTCTTATCTACCAGGCACATTATTATGCATTGGGCATATAGAGATGACCAACCACATGGCCTCATTCCTTGAAAAGCTTACAGTAATCAAACAGGGTTAATAGCCTAAAGAGAGGTAATTACAAGTCTTACAACCAGTCCTCTTAGCATAGTATGGTACTACCACTGAGTTAATTAAGATAACAAAATTCCTAGATATATATCTTTGATGAAATGGTTTCCATAAAAACTTTCCAAGCTTGGTCCTCCCCAGCAGAGTTCATTTTGGAAGGTGACTTTCTGCTTTCATCACCTAAGGTCCTTAGCATGTACCCTGTGTTCTCCAGAGGCACCCCTTGCCCAGAGTGTGCCCTCTGCATGGTTCCCCCAGAACACCTATTTCAAAGGAAAAGAAGTTTGATCATTCAGTGAAGATTTGGGAGGCCACTTTTCTACGTGGGAGGATTACGAGTAGTGCCTTGCTCCCCTATGAATTAGTAAATATAAGGAAAATATAAATTAACCCCCTTTCTGGCTGGGCACAGTGGCTCATGCCTGTAATCCCAGCACTGTGGGAGGCCGAGGTGGGTGGATCACTTGAGGTCGGGAGTTTGAGACCAGCCTGGCCAACATGGCAAAACCCTGTCTCTACTAAAACATAAAAATTAGCCAGGTGTGGTGGCACACATCTTTAGTTCCAGCTACTCAGGGGGCTGAGGCACAAGAATCGCTTGAGCCTGGGGGGCAGGAGTTGCAGTGAGCTGAGATTGTGCCATTGCACTCCAGTCTGGGTGACACAGCAAGACTCTGTCTCGAAAAAAATAAAATAAAATAAAATAAAATAAAATAAAATAAAAAATAAGTTAGACCCTATTCTTCTTAGTTAACCATGACTTCTGAAGGAGGTCAGTGCTCTTGTGCTCTGCATCTCTGGTCCATCAGCCTCAAGGCCACCTTTCAGGTCCACATGAAATATAAGTGCACAAAGGCACCAGACTTAGCATTATTAGTTTCCCCACTGGTCTGATTTTTGTAGAAATTGTCAGGAACTGATTTTCTGCCCTTTCTTCCTAACAGACAAGCCTTCCTGCCTTCCCTGACACAGCTCTTCCCTGTCTCCTACTCTCTGGTCATCAAGCTTTTAGAGATGCCCTGGCCTTCTGCTAGTTGCCCCAGCTGTATTTTTTCTTCTTGGGAATGCATTGATTCCAGAGCCTGACTGGGAATAAATCTCAGTGCCTCCATTTAGCAGTTATGGGATTCAAGTTACTCTTACTCCCAGTGCCTCAGTTTCTGCACCTGTAAAATGGAGATTTACCACCTTTCCTTCCAGCATTACTGATATTGTTTGGCTCTGTGTCCCCACCCAAATCCCATCTCGAAAATTAATCCCTATAGACCCCACGTGTTGAAGGTCCTGGTGGGAGGTGATTAGATCTTGGGGGCGGCTTTCCCCATGCTGTTCTCGTGATAGTGGGTAAGTTCTCATGAGAGCTGATGGTTTTATAAGTGTTTGACAGTTTCTCCTTCACGCGCTCTCTCTTCTGTCTCCTGCCACCACGTAAGACGTGCCTGGTTCTCCTGCCCTCAAGATTGTAAGTCTCCTGAGTCCTCCTCAGCCATGAAGAACTGTGAGTCAATTAAACCTCTTTCCTTTATAAATTACCTATTCTTGGGTATTTCTTTGTAGCAGTGTGAAAACAGACTAATGCAATTACCATGATGGGCTTTCAGTTGATGAACTTGCATCACTAACTCCTCAACCCGCAGCTGATTTCCTACTGTAATTGTTCACCATGCAGACATTTGTTTGTGGAGCTACAAGCATAACCATCGTGGTATTTAAGATTCATTCTGTATCTGGATTTATGCACTTCATGAAAAATCATCAAACTGTCCTTATTATTGGTGTCTTTTTTCTGTATATATGTCATGCTTCAATAAAATATTTACTTAAAATTGTTTTAGGTATGTCAAACTCACTACACCAGACAGGGCTTACTTTCTCACTCTGTTGTCTTTATCCCTCTAATTTAAAGGATTACATATACATCTGTACTTATTTTAGAAAAATAACTATGAACAGCAAAATTTAATAATTAAAAATCATCCATTCTCATTCCCAGCAAACAGACACAATCATCACTAGTATTTTAGAAGATGCATATCATATCTTACAACAAAGAAGAAATAATGTTAATAAGGTTTTATAACCTTTTGATATAATCTGCCTGTAAATTCCAGAATATTATTTTTAAAGGCTGCATTATGTTCAATTCAATGGGTGTAGCACAATTATTTAACCAATCCCTACCGTAAGAGATATAGATGGTTCTGTATTTAGCAATGCTGCCATGAACAGCTTTGGAGCGAAATCATTGCATTGCATTGGAGTTTCACTCCACTCAAATTTCAGTTATTCACACCACTCTTTTCAGACTCCTTTAGGCTTCTTGGTCTTGAGGGAATTCAGAATCTATTAGGCACTACATCTTCTGGACTTTTCTTCTGAAAGATTTATGTTCCACTGAAACAAATAATGGGCTTGATAGAGCCATTTTCAAAGATATGACGGGAAGGAACAGGGGCACTTTGGATCACAAAACCCATTTGCTGGAGTAAGTGGGCACAGGGGACCTGAGGATCTCAGACCCCTGCCTTGCTGTGGGCTGATGCAGCTTAGGAGCCCTGTGGCACCTTACAGTGGTATTTGCTTCCTGAGTGTTATTTGCAGTGTTTCTACGGTGCTAATGACTGCAAATTGCTAATGGCTGTGAAAAGCTAATTGTTGTGCAAGGTGTTTCTCTCTGTCCCAATTGCCAGGGGAGTGCACAGTCATGGTTAAACAGAGACTCATTAGCACCTCTGACATAGTCCTCCTGGGGAATCCTCAAAGCAGCCTGGAAAATAACCAAGTCTCCACCATCCAGAGCCAGGAGGCTTTGTGCCCGGCCGGCAACAAAAAAAAATAAGGGAGGCAAAGATCTAGGAAGCACCACCCAGAAGGAAACAAAGGAAGCAGGAGTGGTGTGTGATGTGCTTCAGCTGGTGAACCAAAGAAGTAGAAAGGACATGGTCTTTGTAGGCAAGTTTCCTAAAATAATACCAATGCAGTGGCTAGGAAGTGCCAGACACTATGCTCAGTGCTTCACGGCTTTTTCTTTTTGAATCACACCCACTTTTCAGAGGAGTACACTGAGGCTCAGAGAATGAATAATTCCGCTACCTCCCACCCTCCTGCCCACACACACACACACACACACACACACACACACACACACAAGGAGAGAAAGAATTTGACCGCTAAACTTAATTCATTATGTTCCCTAAATACCTCATGAAAGTTGGGCTGTTTAAAAAACACTAGCAACAAGCCCACATTGGCAGATGAATGTTATTTTTCTCCTGTATTCCTATAAGTAAGGTGCAATGTCTCTGCTTCCACTGATGTCCTGTATTCTAAGCTATCCACTTTAAAAAATCTATTTGGTTGACTATATATTTTTTCCCTGTCCTTTGACTTGAGTTTAACAATTCACCTGATAAGGCAAACTTAGGCATAATAATGTTTGTTTGAATTCATAGTGCGACAATTTTTACAAACTCTTTTTTCTTTATGGACTCATTAGAATTTTTCAGCTAGAGGTATGAGTTTCAGAACTGCCTACTCCTTCTACCGCCCCCCAAGTTCTTTAAATGTATCTTGTAACCTGTGCCTTCCCTCCTCCCAGGCACTAAAACCATTTGTTGCTTTGTGCAACACACAGAGTTGTGTTTCCAACTCCACAAAACTTTTTCAAAAAGAGATTGAATCAACAACAATAGAAATGGATGGAGTAGCTATGTCTGGAATTGCCATAAGACTGTTTGCTTGAGTTCATCCTGCACACTCTTTGAAAGACAAAGTAGAGGGGCCATTCCCAAAGGAATGGCAGTCTGCTAACACAGCACAGAGGAAAGAAACACTGGAAAGCAAAACACTGCCATTTACAGTTGCAGGAAAGTTGCCTGGGCAACACAGAGACTCAGGGGATGAAGAACTGGCCTCACCTGCCATCTTTCTCATCCTTTTTCCTGCCTCATTAGTTTAACAGAGATAGCAGGTGTCTGTATTGACTTGACTACTAACAGGGCAAAGAATTAGCATTAAAGTTAATGTTAAACTCTCAACCAACTCAATTGATTCAACAGTGAGATTTGGCGTGGTCAAAGAAATTTAACAACAAAGGAGTTTACATTATTTCCAGCTCCCCAGGAAGTGAGATGTGCTGCTTACAGCTGATGAACTATTCCTGACAATTATTCTAAATGGATGATTTAGTGCAGTAAGAGAAGTTGATGCAAATGATGTCATCTGAAAGTTAAGAGAGAAAGCAAAGGGGCAAGATCCTGAGTTGGTAAGAAAATGGTCCCTCCAGAGAGTCAATCCCATTTGGTGCTTTCAGATCTCAGTTCAGGATGGGTTACTTCAACTCAGGTTGAGCACAAAAGAGCCCCTGCCATTCCTGTTGGTCACCATGCACCAGAGCAAAATGAGGACAGCCTATTTCCAGTGTTGCTGAGCTGACAGTTGCCAATAGCTGTCACCCCCTGGTTGAAAAGACAGGACCACGATGTGAGAAGGCCCCTCCCTTGCTTGCGTGTGGGAAATGC